CCCCAAAACCCCAAAACCCCAAAACCCCAAAACCCCAAAACCCCAAAACCCCATCTAATAATTCTAATAATGAAATAAAAACCAATGTGTTTGTGAAACTTTTATTACCACACAAAATTAGTACTCTGCAGCATTTTCTTCAGCAGCTGGCTGTTCTACAGATTCTGGCTCGGTAGTAATAGGAGCATCATACCATCCGTCGTAAACTGGTTCTTCGACGAGGATTGGGGCTTCAACGTATGGCTCTTCGTAAATGATTGGCTCTTCATAGATGATTGGCTCTTGGTAGACAATTGGCTCTTCGTAGAAGATTGGTTCTTGGTAGACAACTGGCTCTTCGTAGAAGATTGGTTCTTGGTAAACAACTGGCTCTTCGTAGAAGATTGGTTCTTGGTAAACAACTGGCTCTTCATAGAAGACTGGAGCATCATAGACAGCAGGAGTTTCGTAAACAACTGGAGTCTCATAGACATATGGTGCCTCATAAGCATATGGTGCCTCATAAGCATATGGAACTTCGTAGACAGCAGGGGCTTCATAAGCAAATCCTGGTCCATAAGCATATGGAGCTTCGTAGGCATAAGGAGCTTCATAGACAAATGGAGCTTCATAAACTGGAGCAGCAACTGGGGCTACGTAGTCAGTAGCTCTACCGGTTGGGGTGAAGGATGGGTTTCTCCATCTGAAGTCATTGAAAGCGAGTTCACTGATTGGTCCGTAGTCAGATCTCCATTGTTGGGCCCACTGTCTGTTGGAAACTGGAGTGTCATAGATTTCTCTTTCGATGGCAAGTCCTGGTCCTTGGAGGTCATTGTGTCTCTCGACGGTCTCAGTGAATCCTGGTTCCTGAACTTTGGTGAGTGGTTGGTCCTGAACAGCTTCATAAGTAACACATCTCTCATATTGTGGGACAGTCTCGGTGTGGGTGGTGACGGAGACATCATCTTCAGTCTTGTAGGATAATTCAGGTCTAACTTCGTCATAGGTTTCGAATCTAAGTCTTCTCTGGAGCTCTGGGAGATGTTCAGTGTGGTAGAAAGTCTCTGGTTCTTCAACAACTCTCTGCTTTGGGATGTATTGGGTCTCTGGAACAGTGGTGTATCTGGTTCTGAATTCAGGTTCCTCAACAATTTGTTGCCTTGGGACATATTCAACTTCGTCGTAAGTCTCATATCTAGTTCTGAATTCTGGTTCTTCGACAACTCTTTGTCTAGTGACATACTCGATCTCTGGAACAATCTCTGAGTGATGGATAAACTCTGGCTCTTCAACAGTCTGGTATCTGGTTACAAACTCTACATCTGGAACAACTTCAGTGTGATGTCTGTACTCTGGTTCTTCAACAGTTTGATGTCTAGTAACATATTCAATCTCTGGAACGATCTCAGTTCTAAGTCTGTACTCTGGTTCCTCAACAGTCTGGTATCTAGTGACATACTCGATGTCCTGAACAATTTCAGCATGATGTCTGAACTCTGGTTCCATTTTAGTTTGGCATTTTTGCACATAATCTACATGAGGGATTTCCTGAACTTCAGTGTGAGTGTAGTATTCTGGCTCCATGACTGTGTTATATCTTGTTCTATAGTCGACTTCATCGATTTCTTCAACATGTGGAACGTAAGAGACTTGGTCGAAGGTCTCATACTCGAATCTTGGTTGGGTGTAGTACTCTGGAACAACATAGGCGTCAGTGACAGTCTGGTATTCTACCTCTGGAACAACAGTAGCTCTGTTGACAGTCTCGTAATCGTAGACGGTAGCATAGTCAGTTCTTCTCTGGACCTCTGGAACGTCGATGTACCCGAAGGATCTCTCTACTTCTGGGACGGCTGCATATCCGACTCCTCTTTCGAGGGTTGGCACGGCGTATTCGTATGCACCTACACCTCCGTAAGCTCCACCGTAGTAGGCTGGTCCTTCGACAACAGCACCACCAAGTCCTGCTCCATAAGCTCCACCGTAGTAAGCTGGTCCTTCGACGACAGCACCACCGAGGCCACCTCTATAGAGTCCTGCACCTTCAACAACAGCTCCTCCGTATCCGAGGCCGAAGTTATTTACAGCAGCACCTCCGTATCCAAGTCCAGTTCCGTAGACACTACCAGATCCATAAGCTAGTCCGTCATATCCGTAACCTGCTCCATAAACACCTGGTCTGAAGCCTTCCTCGACAATAGCTGTACTTCCAATATGACTGAAAGTCAACACTAAGAAGATTCACAGAATCACTTTCATATTTCTTTTTTAAATTTATACAAAGTTTATTTTATTTGGTTTTTATAGTATTTCCTACTCCTGAATCCCTATTTGGGGTTTTGGGGTTTTGGGGTTTTGGGGTTTTGGGGTTTTGGGGTTTTGGGG